TTGAGCCCAGGAGGCTGAGGTTTCGTGTCTACAAAAAAAAAAAAATTAGCTGGGTGTAGTGGCATGTGCCTGTAGTCCTAGCTACTTGGGAGGCTAAGGCAGGAGGATTGTTTCAGCTTAGGAGTTCAAGGCTGCAGTGAGCTATGATCGCACCACTGCATTCCAGCCAGAGTGACAGTGACACCCTGCCACACAAAAAATAGTTTTGTATATTGTAAATAAAAAAAAAAAAAAAATCCAACCTATACATTTCCTTTGGACAAATTTGCCACTGAGCTAAGGAGAAAGTAGAGTGAATTTTTGGCCATATCTAAACATAGATAAAATATAGCTCTAGAGGGTGGGCATGGGTGACCCTGCCAAGATGAGAACTCAGGGGAGAAAGTCTAGGACCAGACACAGAAGTTTCCCTCATGAATATTCCTGGACTTGTCCAAGGAGGGGGTTGTTTCCTTTTGTTTAAGGTATAGTTCCCTAAGTGAGGCTGACTTTGTTTTATCCATCAGCTTTAGGCAGTGAGACCTTGGCATCACGGCAAGAATCCACGACAGATCACACAGACTCTGTGGTGAGAGCATGGGTGTGAATGGGTGAGGGCCCAGTGACCATGGGGCTCTGTAAATCTCAGGTCTCTACTGTATGTTCAGCAAGCCCCAAGACCCAGCCTTTGGTTATCCAGGGTGGTGAAAGAGAGCAATGGGATGTACACTCAAAATAGCATATTTGACTTGGAAGGTAGCTTTGTGCTTACAAATATAGTGAGCCTGAATTGAAAATGTACTTTAAAACACATAATAGTGTGCACCTCTATAGAGAGCTTTCTGGTTCCTCCATTCTACACTTTACCAAATTTCTCCCCTTACTCCTTTGCTGAGAGCTATATAATGCAAAGATCCAGTCTGTTACATTTGAATTCTCAGCTGCTTTTTTGGTGTCTTCCCTAAAGGAGGAAAGTAATTGTTTGGACTTAAAGTCTCTAGAACTTCTGTGATCTCTTCTCCAGGAAGATCAATTGTCATCTTAAAATCATAGAACACTAGATGTGGAAGCCTTCACCAGCCCCCACAGTCCGTTAGTCACCCCTTCTATGGCTACTACATTTTGCTCATAAGGTCTGTGCAGTAGCACAGAGCACATCGTAGTGGAATAATCTGGCTGTTCTGTGGACTGAGTTCCTCAAGGAAGTCCAAGCCCAGCATGTGTAGCAAATGCTCAATAAGTGACTGAGTGAATGGAAGGGTCATTAGTCATCATCTAATTCAACTCTCACGTGAAGATTTGTTTATTTCATTGTACTTTCTTCTTAGTTGCTGTTAGAAACTTTGCAAGATGAGCTGAAGCTTTTTAACGAAACAGCCAAAAAGCAGATGGAGGAGTTACAGGTGAGTCAAACATCACCCTGAGGCAAGATTACCATTTCCTACCACCACAGGTAGATTATGGAAGGGTCTTTATTTCCTACTTTTCTGTTTATTTTTAATAAACTATTTTGAAATAATTTTAGATTTACAGAAAATTTGCGAAATAATACAGAAAATTTAATTCCTCTTATAATAACATCCTGGTACATTTGTCAAAACTAAGAAACCAACATTGATGCATTACTATTACCTAAATTCTAAGACTTCATTTGGATTTTACCAGATTTTTCCACTAATTTTCTGTTTTGTTTTGTTTTTTTTTTTTTGAGACAGAGTCTCACTCTTTTCCCTGGGCTAGAGTAAGTGCTGTGGCGTCAGCCTAGCTCACAGCAACCTCAAACTCCTGGGCTCAAGTGATCCTTCTGCCTCAGCCTCCCGAGTAGCTGGGATTACAGGTATGCGCCACCATGCCCAGCTAATTTTTTTTCTATATATTTTTAGTTGTCTGATTAATTTCTTTCTATTTTTGGTAGAGACGGGGTCTCGCTCTTGCTCAGGCTGGTTTCGAACTCTTGAGCTCAAACAATCCGCCCGCCTCAGCCTCCCAGAGTGCTAGGATTACAGACGTGAGCCACCGCGCCCGGCCACCAGTAATTTTCTATTCCTGAGGATTCTTAGAAATGTTCACATCTCCAGGGCATGAGGCAATGTGCAACAAAGTAGATTGCTTAAAATTGAGAGTTGAGACCTATAGGAAATCCATGCTGTGGAAACTTGCTATCTCAAGAAGGAGACCTGTAGTAAGAAATGCAGATTCTGGCCAGGCGAGGTGGCTCATGCCTGTAATCCTAGCACTTTGGGAGGCCGAGGTGGGAGGATTGCTTGAGCTCAGGAGTTCGAGACCAGCCTGAGCAAGAGTGAGACTTCATCTCAACTAAAAATAGAAAAATTAGCCAGGCATGGTGGTCTACACCTGTAATCCCAGCTACTCGGGAGGCTGAGGCAGGAGGATCACTTGAGCCCAGGAGTTCGAGGTTGCAGTGAGCAATCATCACTCCACTGCACTCTACCCAGGGTGACAGAGTGAGACTCTGTCTCAAAAAAAAAAAAAAAGAAAAAATAGAATGTCTATTGGTATTCCTCAGTGGAATAGAAGCATAGTGTTCTGGTGTATGTATTGTCTTTCCTATGAGTCAAGAGTTTTTTTGTATGTGTTTTTTTCTTTTGGAATGTCTTTCAATACAGGCCTTAAAGGTAAAGTTGAAGATGAAAGAGGAAGAAAGGCTCCGATTCCTAGAACAGCAAACCTTATGTAACAGTCAAGTAAATGATTTTGCAACAGCCATTGAGGAAATGGAGCAGCTATTAGAAATGTAATAAAAAGCAAGTGGCCAGATGGCTCCCTCTGGGGGATAAACTCTTAGAGGAAGCCACTTAGGACATCTTCTTGGCCATGATCTTCTGGGACTCACCACCTCCAAAATGAAAACAATTTCTGCAGTAGGATTAAGGACAGTTTATGCTGGAATGGCGGTTCCTCCTTTAAGCAAGTTTTCCCAACCTTCAGGTTTGTCAGCCCTCCTGAGCCACATGTCGATAATTGGGGCCTACAAGTGTGTGACTTAGAAGCTTGGATTGACCTCCTGGGCAACCGCTTGATGCTAGCTAGCACACTATTAGAATTGGGGGAATAAACCAGTCACAACCAGAGCATCTAAAATGTCACATTCCAATTTTAGGGAAGAAACCTTAATTACAGGTGCTCTATGGGAGACATCATTAAGGAGCCATGTTGTCCCCTTCTAACTTGGAGCACTTTCTGTCCCATTCTGGTTGGGCTTCTGTACCTCATTATTAATTTATGAACTTAAAGTTGTTTGAAATGTTTTTGGCTTAATGGGTAAAGGTGTAGATAGTAATAACATGTACTTGAAACAATATACCTTGGAGCTTTTAATGTAAGTCACTTCTGGTTTTTTTTTTTTTTAAAGTGCTACATTTAAAATAAATATTTCTATAAATGTTCTGACTGTAACATTGAAGAATGAAAATAGCCTTTTAACCTAAATATGTCAACTGATTATTATTGACTAATCCAGTTAACAAGTTCAAGATATTCTGACAGCCCCAAATATTTTTCTTCTACTCATTAAATCCCTATGAGTAGCCCCCTTGTCTTCCAGGAGCATTGACTAATCTCCTGAGGGTGTTCCCCATTTGTAGCAGTAGGTACCAGACTCCACTCCCCAAGTGTGTGGTCACACGCTGCGTTTGTTCTTCCTGTACTCCTAAGCATGGTGATGTGCCTTCTCTATGCTTTGCACAGCCAGTCCTGGGCCTGGTCCCATAGATCCTTTAGTCCATAGCAGGCCTCCCCCTGGTTTACCAAAGGCATGGCCAAATTTTATTTCCTAGTCAAACCAGGCTGCCTTTGGCTTTGGCCATCTCCCATTCTTTCTGCATCTCCTAACTTCTTCACCAAACACCCCTACACTCCACCCTTGAGTATCTTTAAGGCTGCCCAGAGCCTCCCAGTGAAGCCAAGTAACACTTCCACCCTAGCTTAAAGGACCAAAGTTGTTTGCCCTCACACACATTTCACGAAGTTGATTATGTCTCAAATATTTTGAGCCTACTCACTAAAAACTGGTTTATGGCAAATGATTTCTCTCAACCTAAGTTGTTAGCAATAAAATAGAGATAATACCTGTTTTGCTGGGTTGCTGTAAAAGAATTATGTCTAGCACCTAATCCAGTGCCTGGTAAAAAGTACTCAAATCCTGGTGGTGATATTATTAAAGTTCAAAACTTACCTTGGCAGAATATTCTCTTCATAATTTTGCCCCCGTTTTCTCCAGCGTCCCCGCTCTCTCCCCCAACCCCAGAACATAGTGCCTTGATCTTACCATGCCTTTGCAGGCCTCAGATAAGCAACTTCCCTTAGAGCTGGGAACTCTCAACTTAGACTCTTAAGGCAAATTAAACCATCTTAAAACACAAAACAAAGCCAAAAAAACCCCCACCCTCATCCCCTCCAGCTACCACCTATCCTGTATTCACAGCCAAATTTTTTTTTTATTATTTCTTTTTTTATATATATATATATGTTTCATCAGACAGAAAAGAAATATTGGCCAGACTTAACAGCATTCAATTCAAGGCCAAATAAACCAGCCTACAAAGGCCAGAAGCTCAATAAAATTAACATTAAAGCTGACAACCTTGGGTAGCCTCCTTAGGAATTCTATCAGCTGTCCCATCTGAGTCAATAGCCCAATAGCCTTGATAAAAATGGTTTGCTATGGAGAAAGTATTCTACATTCTGTTCACTGGTCTTTGAAGGAGAATTAAAATATACGGACATTTCGTCTACCCCGAATCCACACCTATATTTTAAAAGTAAAATGTTCTTTCCAAGACTACATAAATTACAGTTGTTTTCTGGATGCTGTCCCTGTTCCTAATTCTTCCCTAGTAACTGTTCTAATGTGGCACCTTGTTATAAACTTTGTCTCTTTCCTCACCAATAGAAACTTCAGCTTTCAAGGGCGCGCTATTAATTTTCTTGGAATAGTAAGGAGTGAGCAATCTTCCTGGGATTGTTTTAGGCATGTGTGAGAACTGCTGATGGAGAAAACATGCACTTGTCTTTCTCCTGAGCACGGCAGAGACGCTGATACTCTGTCTTCAAAGATTGTTCAGACTGCCTGGGCGTCGGGTGGGGGCACTGGATGGTGAGGGGGGTGAACTCATCCGCAGCCCGCTTGTCAACATCATGCCTTCAGAAACTATTCCTGAAGGGAATGAAGGAGGCCCTGTTCTGACACAAAGCACCCATCCCCTAAACATTTAAGATCTACTACTCCAAAGTGGTGAAGACCTTTCCTGGGAGGCTACACTCAAAAGTTAAAATCCCTCCGGTTTTACTAAATCAGTCTTTACTACCCTATGACGCCTCTGAAAACGTTCTAGTAAGTCCCCCCCCCTTCCAAACACTCCCGCCATCCTTGCCTCCAGGGCAGACGAAATGCTCCAGTCCATTGTCACATCTCCAATCTCACACTAAACTAACTCGCAGCAGAAAGAAACAAACGACCCTCGCAGGGCGCCACAGCTGCTGAGCAGCAGGTAACTCTATTGCCCCCAGGAAAACCCGACACACGTGTGCGGCCCTTTATTCTGGCGTTTCTGGACGCGCACTCGCCTCTACCAGGCGCGCACACACGCACATACTTGGGCGCTACACACA